ACAAAAGATAGTGAAAGTATGTATGAGGTGGTACATACAGATGACCAATTAAGAAAGGCCCACCGCACGTGTTTTTCACTTCAATCACGTGATCACCACTTTCACTAGTCCCTCCCTACTATTCTATTCTATTCTATTCATGTTGTGTGGTGTCAATTTTTGAGGTACAATACAATTGCTCTATGGACTATGATTAATCCGATTAAATAATGAATTCATGTAGTAGTATATGGTATTTTGTTTGAGGCTTATCGGGTTCGTGTTTATGATTTAATGAATAAACTATTCAGTTTTTTAAATGACATTTACCTTTCACTTTCAGATATTGCCTTGGCCTTGCTTAGCCTATCTACCCGAATTTTTTTTATATTATACTCTTAAAAAAAATTATGCTACATGGACGTAAAAAATGACATAAACTTTAACATAATATCACATTTCAAAATCTTATTACTTACACATCATGTCATCTTTAAAATCAACAACAATTATACATTTACCTCATTTTAGTTATTTATTATTTATTTGATTATGTTAATATCCCATAAATCATATAAAAATAATAAGCTAACCACGACGATGGCTACTCAAGCAAGCCTATAATGCTGCAAATTTTGTTAAAAATAAAAGTCCTCATATCCCATAAATGTGGTTGACAATACAAGTAGAAATATCCACACAAATAATAATAAAAAAAATACACGAGTGGATGTTTTCATTTATATTGTCAACCTAGTTGTACACTAGATTGACATAGTAACATTTTTCTGTGCTAATAGGTACGTACCATCAAGTCATCATTCAAATGTTGATGTTGTGTCAATACACAAACCTAAGTATATATGAATATCAACGGCACCACAAAGACACTTCCAAATTCTAACCTTTAGAATTCATCTTTCATAACATAAATATATATTTTTCATAAATATATGTAAATCCAATTTAACTGAAAGTTTTGAACATATAAAGTTTGTGATATATAGGACATGCAGATCCTGCCCTATATTATCTTTATTGCAATAGGCCTCAATGAAGAGAAAAAAAAATAAAAAATAAAAAATGCTGCAACTCCCCTCTGCTAAAAGGTCCAAAAGGTTAAAATTATATTAGAAAAAAAGAAAAAAAAACAAGAAAAAGACCAGCCCATTTCTCCTCTTCCCATCCCCTTTTTGTTTCTCTTTCTTAATGCTCTATATAACTAATCACAAGGAGAAACAAAGTAAAAGGCACATAGTAAAAGGCTCTATATAGCTGTTTTTCTGATAATGGGGGACTAGAAGATGATATGACACATGGTAATGACTTGGTAAACCGGAAAGGATCCGCTCGGTCTAGGGAGCCGAAATTAGTGAGGTTCGGAGCTCGGTGACACTAACAGCTTGGCCTTGTGTTAAGTAGCTCGGTCCTGTGATAAGCAGCTCGGTTTTCACAACAAAAAGACTACTAATAGCTCGGTTAAAGGGTACAGGTAAAGTGCTCGGCCGAAGGGTATTTTGCGCGGATTCAAGGATATTGGCTCGTCTCAGGGGTGATAGCTCGGTCCAGCAGTAGTTGGGCCGGATGTAATTGGGCTCGACAACAATTGTTACATTAGTTGCTCGGCCCATTTGTGTTACTAGTAGCTGCTCGGCCTAGTAGTTGCTCGGGCTAGCAGCTCGGTCTTCAACGGGTTCGGACCAACGACTGAATAAGCCCGACATACAATTGTCTGCTATATAGCAGACCCAAGGATGAGGAATTACGATAAGAGGAGCGATTGGGATACATCAAGAAGGGCTCGGCTGACTCGGCCCGTCGTCGATATTATCAAACAAAGTCTATTTAGTCTAAAGAACAATAGCTTATTCGATAATGGAGGGACTAGATGATGTAACCATGAGAGTGATTCGGTAAATTGGAAGAGATTTTCTCGGCTTCATAGTAATTATTCATCTACGACATAAATAAATAGCTCGGCATTACGAGCAGCTCGTCATTGTTAGTAGCTCGGTATTATGAGTGGCTCGTCATTATTAGTAATTCGACGTGATTTGCAGCTCGCCGTTACTGGCCGCTCGGCACCATAGATATTGCTATAACATATAAGAATGGCATTACGAGCAGCTCGGTATTATGAGTGGCTCGCCATTATTAGTAGTTCGACATGCTTAGAAGCTCGCCATTGCTGGTCGCTCGGCACCATAAATATTGATATAACATATAAGAATGGCATTACGATCAGCTCGTCATTGTTAGTAGCTCGGTATTATGAGTTGCTCAGTATTATGAGTGGCTCGCCATTATTAGTAGTTCGACATGATTTGTAGCTCGCCATTACTGGCTGGTCGCTCGGCACCATAGATATTGCTATAACATATAAAAGTGGCACGGTTTAACCTGAATTATTTGGCTCGGTTCAAGTAATGAAGCTCGGCTAATGGTGAGCTGGGCTTGAGGACAACTTTAATTGCTCGGCCTGATGAGAAGCCTAGTAGCTCCGTCTGATATATGCTGCTCGGCCCGCTGAAGAATAGGGGCTGCTCGGCCCATACGAGAGCCTCATTAGCTCGGTCCATTGAGGAGTGGGTTGTTCTGACCGTTTAGGAACTCAATAGCTCGAATATTGAATTACCGAGCTAATATATGAAACACGGTAATATCTCGGCTCAGATGATATAGCAACTGCTTGGCTTAAGTGTCATATTATTAATTGCTCGGCCTAAAAGTGACATCAGTTGCTCGGACTAGCAGCTGGATCTTTGACTTGCTCGGCCTAACGATTGCATAAGCCCGGTATTATGATTTGAAATAAAACCGAATGGAGCGGCCAGAAAATGTTTTCGCTTTCACTAAGTGGCCAAGCAAAAGTTGAGCGGTATGGTAGTAAAATCCGAAATAAGCAACCAAAAGGTCCAATCAACTTCTTCTGGTCGGCTCGTATTAGCCTGTGCTTTATTACAGGTAGTTGTCCATGCGGTTTTCCTCTCTTGCATAGAGCCAACCTTACTATATGTGCTTTCCTTTACTAATGTACAGTAATAAAAGTACTTTAAATAGCTAGGCAGCTGAGACTGGACCAATTGAGACCTACAACAGATCGGGGACGAAATGAGAGACTTGTGTTAAGATATCTTAACACAAACCCGCCCAAGGGTCGACTGGTACACCCGGCCAAGACTCGTGCCTCCGTTAATCTGACATAAATAAACAGCTCGGCATAAATAAACAGAATCTCCAACATTACAAAGAAGCCAACATTTTCTTTTCTTCCCCCTTAGCCTTAGCATCACAATCCATCAATAAACTAGGAGTAGAAAAAAGGACCTCACCACAACAAAAGTCATTATATTCACATCACATTATTTTTATTTTTTCAACTCAAATCGCCGTGAAAATAAGAAGAATAAAGTATGATTTACGAGCTGATGGAACGACTACACGCTCACATTTAGTGCACATGGTGAGGGTTGTTGGGGGGCTCATATTCATGTAAAATCGAGGGGCCGATAGCTTAAGTTCCCTCAGCTCCGATACCTCCTTTTGCAGCGTTGATTCTCCAGCGTTAGATTCTCACACCAACGCCTCAGATACTCACAGTCCACCTCGGTTTGCTTCACCTTTGTCCTGAAATCTTTCATTCTGTTACACTACTATTTATCAAGGAAATAAAATAACTAGCCGGAAAAATTCATAATCATATATCATTTATAAAATATTCAACAATCTCCTAAACAATAGCTTCATTTTAGTCATAAAGCCCCAATTTTTTTACATAGAAATTTGAAAGACAGTGTTACTCTAAACACTTCCAACAGAGTTTGTATTATTCTATAAACAACACACACTATATTCATAATCACTTGTTACAATTCGAACAACAAAGTTGTCCGAATGATTTCAAATTCATCATATATTCAGTTGATCTTAGCTT